TGCTAGTAGATGGCATGGTGAATTACATAGTAGTCGTGGTAGCAGGCCAGAATGCACAAAGGCTGGCCTATGATTAAGGAAAACCAAACAAAAATGTTTGCCCAGTTTCCATTAAGCATGCGAGACACGATGATGGAAAATGGGATTTGAAGAGCCATCCCTGCAAAAGCATACACCCCAAACATTTTCAGCGGCACTGAAACGAGGTATTCGTGAAAAAATGCCGAAATGACAAAGACCGCAGACATGACAGTCATCTTGGAGTATCCTCTCTTCAGCAGAGGCACATAGATATGGCGCAATGCAAACTTGTGAACCTGCAATGTTACAGTACGGTTAAAAGGAAAATATTTTGCTATATCATTGCTCAAAAACTTACCCCCATATTCCATGTTTTCCAGAACTGCGCGATAGACTCTGCATTCCACCAGTCCTTGTAGAATTCTCTGTCGCCAAAACGCTACACAGAAAAACGTTGCATTATTATTATTATTTGTTTGCTAAACAAAGCACTTGCTCAAAAGCATACCAAAACTTCAGCCACCAAATTCAACATTGAATGAAAGTACACGTAAAACCAAATCAACCAAATAACGTGGTTCGGAATCTGAATAAAAAGTTTTCATTAGAAAATGTAATTAATAAAACACCGCTAAACATACCGCAAGTTTAAGTAATCGTTCTAACATTTTAAAGTAGTCCATGTCCTGCAACGGCTTAAGTGAATTGCTTATTGTTGGCACCATCCACTGCTGAATCAACGCCAGGTTGAGCTGAACTAGGAACACCTGTTTGAAGTGGATTTTAATGAGTCCTTTTGAACAACCGCATTCAAAAATACTTTACCACTTCAAAAAGTCGTTTCATCATAAACACTTTTCTACGTCTAGCAGAACGGGGAAAGTTGAGTTCGTAGCAGAGTGTTGGAGCATAGCAAAAGTAGTAAATGTCAGTTAAAGTAATGTTGTCCGGGTAGGAAACTATGGTCTGAGGGTCGAAACCGTTTGGCAGACGAAGACCATTTTGAAAGTCACCGCTCTTGTGCCGTCGATGACTCATTCTCTTTTGATTGTGCCGGCACCAGTAGTTGACATGTGAGTAAGAGAACAATTTCAGGAAAAGAATACAATACATCAAACTGGACACGGAAGCGGAAACTGGGTGAATTTCGATGGTGAACACTGAAACCACTGGCCACAGGAGAACACAGGTCAGGTTTAGCGCAATCAGCTGAAATGCTCTCTGTGAAGATATTTGATGCTGATACAAAAGAAGCTTTGTTAAAAACCGTTTAGTTAATTTGTGTGAATAGACTTACTCTACTTAGCTTGAGTTCAATGTAATAAGAGAAGAAAACAAAGATATGCAAGAGAATGACTGACGTAATGGTAGGCCATATTGAAGTGTTTCCAAAGAAGGTGTAAGCGATTTGAGTGTAGTTGATTAGAATGCCGTACCTAGTTTATTAAAGTTAAGTTAATTTGCCCAATAGATATACAAAACTTACTTGATCAAGTTTTCTAAAGCTACGCGAAGCGTTGCTAAGACCTACAAAGGAGAAAATTGATATATTTTAAACTCTAATCGGATCAAATCAATTGCATTTTAATGATCATTTTGCTGCTTAACTAATTTGCCTTGAACTGTTGTCAACAAACTTAATGCAGCTTACGACATACCAATAAAATGAGGGCTAAATTGAAAAAACCTCGAAAATTATTAAATCCACTGGAAGCGCTGAACAATGAATCGCGCTGTGAGTGACACCTGAAAAATATTATATTTAGAATACAAAAGTGAAATGAACAATTTAAAATCACACTGACCAGGTACACACAAGGACAAACACACATAAGGACAAGTATTTAAATTAAATACAACTAGAGCCAACAAAAATCTTACGGTCGGTCTGGTTGACCCAGCCTGATTAGTTCGTATTGATGGTTCTCATCGGTAAGACTCTTTGATCGTTTTCTCTGTCGGACCACGCCATTGGGTTTGCTATGGTCATTCATGGTTTTGGGTGCACTTGATTCTGAATTGTTTTCTAATTCAAATAATCGAAGTCTAACTGAAAGGAAATAGAAGTTGAAAAGTGACACTGCTCACATGGACTTGAAGTCAAAACAAAAAGTGAGATACATATCAGTGTATGCTTTATATTCATACTGTCACCATAATCGCTTGCGCACATCTGTCCACGATGATAATGAAGTGATTGGTCTTGGCAAAGTACATGTATTGATGCACTGCAGACACCTTCAACTTCACAGACCCCTGATAGCTGGAGCTCTTTTGCAGCGTTATGCAAGTGCCATGTGTTTTTGCGTCCCACTGTCTATTGCCCTTCAGCATTTGCCACGCTAGAAGTGGAATTTTTGTCCTTGATGAAGATAAGACAGTTGGCCATTATTCCCACTATGACCACGATGGTGGTCATCGGCCAGTCAGTCAGTGGCAATGTACTTCTCATCTTACTGGCCTATCAAAACGTCTGT